TTATTTCAGTTAATTTAGTGTAACGAACGTTGGTTTAAATACACATATTACTCATTATTTTCATCCAGTAATTACTAAAATCTGAGAAAATGAATATGAAGTTTTTGTACCCAAGCATTAAAGTGAGTGAAGGAATTCAGCCCTGAAATTAGTAAGTGACTTCAGTACTTTCCCTGACATATTACGTATTTTGAATGATGCAGAATTCTTTGAGTGAGAGACACTCACAAAAACCTATTTACCCTGAAATAGCCACCGCAAGATAATATCTGCATATTGCACAAGATGTTAACCTTCTACAGTGAGCTACATTTTCAGTGAATTTTGTGAGTCAGTCGTTCTTTGTGCGTCAGATGTTTTCTTTCCAGCCCAGGTTAAAGTTAGTTTTATATACTGTTGGCACTATATTATTAACAATGACAATAAAGAGGTGTACTAACTCAACTGTCCAACAGGAGTCCTCATGCACCACCTGATTCAGGTGTTGTCACCTGGCTGTCTGTTGCTGTTGTGTTAAAGGGGGAAAGCTATGGAAACCTGAGGGACAAAGGAAAGATACTGTTGTAGCTGTAGTTTCAAAATAGCTGCCTTGAAGCGTGACAAGATCAGCATGCTGTAGAGTTCCTGGTCGTGTTTGAGTTTCCTGTTGAGACAGTCATACATAAGGGTGACGGTCTTGTGAAAAGTTGTTTAGCTGCTCAGTATCAAAGTACTCCAGAGTGATCTTTGAAAGCAAATGTTACCAAGCATGAGTCTCCATGTGAGAACGACAGGCCGTCAGATCCACTTTGCCCAAGCATTTGCTAATGAAAGAAGGCTGGCTGACAGGCAGGGTAAAGAAAGAAGATGGACTGGTTTGAAAGTATGACTGGTATGGGGACATGGACAGGCAGACGTAGGCAGAAGACGGCAGAGAAGACAGAACTCTGTTTTGGTTCTTCACAGTCACGACTAATCATTTAATAAAAACTGATGTAAAGAGAGTGAGTGACAGGGCTCAACACTAAACGGACAGGGAGGAGAGGAGAAGACAGACAAGAAATATCTTCAGACGTCCTGTCCAGTCGGCCATGGGGAACAGTGGTGAGTTTTTCTGTTGAGATGCTTCATTTCAATTATGTTTACCGCAGCTGTGACGCACACAACAACTTACCAAAAACATCTGCGCACTGACTCACATTAATCTTTCTACTCAAGTATTTAACTTTAAAATAATCGCTGTTCCCAAATTCCAACAAAATGTCCTTTTCTTCTTTGGATTACTGTCTTTTTTTTGGGGGGGGGTTGCACATTTCACATGGTCATTGAGCTCTGCTTGTTTCCTGTTACTAAACTCTTCTCACTGTGTTACAATATCAAAAGTGTCATAAAAACCTACACAGTCAGTCACTGTCATCATAACTGTGTGTTCATATGCAGTGTAACTGTTGCTTGAAACGAGCCAAGGTGAAACAGTGAATGAAATTTAGGAAGTTAAGCAGTTAAGATTTCTCCATCTGCTCTTGTGATGCAGTTGAGAGGGAAAATGAAATGACAATGTTTTCCAAGTCTCAGCTGTTAACGTCAAGTGCCACCTGTATTTCCGTCTCTTAAACTCCCTCCTCACTCGTCATTTCAGCTTCTCCATAAACGCTGCTGATGAAGGCAGCGCCGGCATCTTTTCCAGATATTGATTTCCCAGTCTCATTTCATCAGAGTGAATATTCATTCATAAACTGAACAGATTCGTATTGATCCAATTAACCTCAAGCAGCCAGACAGACTGCTCTTCAGCTGGTTATCATTTGTCATGAATACAATACCCTGTGAAATGACAAAAGATCTGTTGTCCTTTAGTTTTTTTAAATTCATTGTTCTTCAATGCTTGTACGTTAATCTGTGTTGATCTATGGTGAGAATGTAATCATCTCTCTGTATTTGTATTTGCAGGGAGCAGGGTAAACTCAGCAGCAGTTGGGGTCGCCGTAGGCTTTGGGATCCTGGCGATCCTCTTCACCATTGCCATTGTGCAGTTCTGCTGCAAGTACAAGTGCAAAAACTGCAAAAACTGCTGCAAGAAAAAGAGTGAGTGAGGCTTCAATGAGTCAGTTCACCACAAACATTAAACAAACTCTCACCTCTTGTGGTATTGATAGGTTTGATTATATCTGTCCAGGCTACAGATATGTGTCATCAGGCTCGTTATTCTGAATAATCCAAACTCCTCTGTAACTGTTTACTGTTAGGTCTGAGTTATCCAAGTTACGTAATACTGACAATGAATCCAGAGTTGACTTTTTAAACATGTAATAGTTTTCTGTGCCATGTGCAACACCAGTTTCTTTCACTGCATTTGTATTGATGTGGAGGCACAAATTGCAGAGACAGTTTTCTCAAAACCTGCATGAATAAAACCAAAACTTTCTGAATGGTTTTGTTATTTTTGGTGTAAAACTGGCATGCAACAACATTACCCAATATTAAGACTGCAAAGTAACAAATCTGTCCTGCTTTTGTCATAAATCCACTCTTTATCCTCTTAATTCTCTCTAGAGCCATCACTGAAAGACCAAGTGCTCACGTAAGTGATTTATTTATTCACATGCCTTTCAAATACAAAGTTGTATTTCCTTGTAAATGCTTGTGTCATGTTTGTGTGGGTAAGCTATGTGTGTTTGACCCTTCTATCTACAGCAAAGTCGGCTTGAAGAAGTCCCCCCCTCCCTTCTCTATCAGCGGCATCACAAAATGACGTCCGACTTGTTGGCAGTTGATTGTGGCACCTGCACACTCATTGTCTTCTCAGTATGTTATCCTTTCCTGATTGCATTTTGCTGCTATAACTGACGTTGGAGTTTTAACCTGAATACTGAGGAGGCATTTTACCATGTTATTTTTACATTACAATGTGTGATGTAATGTTTTCGAGCCAAGTCACTGTTTCTCAGCCAACTTTGATTCAGTCTTTGTATTGAAAACAAAAGTGCCCACTTTGTTTTGAACAGAAAGAGGAACATTACATGCTACTGTGTATGCAAATGTGTACTGTTATGTCATTTTAATGTCATTGTAAAGAGTGGGTTAAAACAATGTCTAATATATACATTTGAATATGAATATTTATATATAATTTTTCTCTTGCAGTTTCACTGTATCATTCTTGCTATATGTCATGAAAATGGTCTCAGTTTGAAATGTTGTGGCTTTTCGTGGTACAAATTTGAGTATGCAGACACACACACACACACACACACACACTACAGAAAGACAAATGCACACACTCTGTTGATGAGAGCTTTTGAGGCGGAGGCAAAATATCAACTGCTTAACCACAGCAACCAGGCGGATCTGTTTTCTTGTAAGCTGCAGGTGGCTTCCCTCCAAATTCACATATCTACTACCCTTTTTTTTATACTCTCTGTGGTTGGCGGAACAATGTCTCATAGTTTTTCTTTTAAATAAACTAAAACCTGTTTCTGTGAATCTGATGTTTTTGTGATATGAGCTGCCTACAATAAGGTCAATAAAGGTCAACTTTTATCTCTGTAAAAAACATGACTTAGATGTGCTCAAACTAGAAATAGGGGTTAAAAGATTTTGAGTTTAACTGGAATTATTTTAAATGAGCCTTTTTTTAGCTACAGAAACTCAAATGGCAGATGATCCACCGGCAGGGCTGCACTGTTTAAAAACCTTATTTTATTTAGAGGTCAGATATTTTAGGCGACAGCAAGCTTAAAAAGTGTGAGTGTGCTGTCATAGTGTTGGTCAAAGGTAAGAAATTCCACTTTCGTTTGCCTGCAAACTATGAAAACACTTCCTGTAAATGTTGCTCATTGTAAATCTCCACCAAACTTCCATCAATTTATCTTAATCTGTGAGGAGCATATTACTTCAATCTGGTTTCAAAAAGTGTCCGTCAGAAGGCAGAATCTTTTGTTCACACATTAATACCCCTGTCCTGTTGCCATTTAACTTTCTGCAATGTGCTGAAACTATCTACAGCTGTGCTGATTTGCACTCTCCCCCCTAAATGTCACATGACTGTGCACACAGTCTGTATTAACTCATGCAGAGCCACTGGCACTTACTGATCATTGGATATGCATGAATTGTAGTGCCACAGACTGAAGTGAGGCACTGCACAATTCAGATTAGTCTGGAGTCTGATTTTATGTTAAGATTTTGTTAATATCACTGTTCAAGTTTGTTGTGGAATTCGGACATCTGAAGTAAAATGTCAACCCAGTGGGTCCTGGCCAATTAGCTAATTTTGTGACTTTGTAGAGGGACCCAGCCTCAAAATCTAATTTTTGGAGCTTTGTGTTAAATCAAATTGCCAAGACATACTACAAAAAGTATCACATTATGGGAGGATCATTAGGGGCTCAACAGAATGGCCTCTGAACAGCTTAATCCAGCCAAACTGGGAGCGACAAAAAGATGAACTCTGATCTACATTTGATTCTCATCAGTCGGCATGTACCGCAAAACCAGTAATGTGATAGTTTGCAGTTAGCAGGCTTTTTCTCTTAACTTTTAGGATTAGCCAGAAGTTGTCTCGCTTCCTCTGCAGGTTATGCTGCACATAGAGAAGTAAGTCTCATGGTTTTCTTACCACTGCCAGGGATCTGCTTCATCCCAATCAAGAGTGCATTTACTGAAAAGCTGATACATAGGTATTGTTTTAGATAGTCTGAAACTTCACATCTGTTGACAGTATATTCTTGCTTTGCTGTCTCTGTGAAGCGGACTTTTTGAACCGAGTGGGAGCCTGAAACAGGAAGTATTTTTTTCTAAGTTTAGCGGCTTCAAAACCACCGCTCTGGTTCCTGTGCAGAATTTGCATTTGGGGATCCCAAGTGCAGCAAGGCGATTTGTAATCTTTGTTTTCCAGTTAGAATCACCATGTTGTTTCAGGGTTTTCCTTGTGTTTCTGTGATTCACGGTTTCTAAAATCAACATCATGTCATTTGCTCGGGGTTTTTTGTTTGTGAATGTATGAAATTTAGAGGACATTCTAGGAAGACAGAATCTTTTAATGACATGTAAAAAAAAGCAGAGGCACATATAGTATTCAAAGTGATGCAAAAAAAAACCAAGTCATATTTAATAAATAATTTAAAATGGAGAGGTAGCTTAAAGACAGGCCTGGAGTTTTAAAATATCAAACACACATTAAAAATGAGGCATTTGCTCCCTTGTTTGACACATCTCGTTATCGCTCTTAAGTGCTTCACAAGTATTTTGTCTGATATTTAAATAGTGGTAAGAAAAACTTCTCAGAAACTTCACCATTGGTTACCAATATAGGGTTTCATGATTAGCAGAGTGACAGGCAGGGAATCATAAAATGCCCAAAAGTACGCAACTGTCAAACTGTTTCTCTGCATTGCTGCCCACACCAGTTTCATTTCCGGCATGCAGCATTTTAGTCAGTTGTAAAATACACCCAGTGGGACGAAAAAGGTCTTCTGTTGTCAGTCTTAAGAAGCCCCTGTAGCTCCAGCCGACGGCTATCACCCAGCAGCTGTGTGGCCTAACCTCTATTTCCTTCCTACAGTCAATAACAGCCTGCTCTTGCACTGTTTTCTCCTCATAGTTTTGCCCTCTTTCCATCACACCTTCAATCCTGGAGGGATTCCTCTCCCCCCAAATACTAATTACTGCTTCTACTGCATGACTCAAAAAGTGTGTCATGCAGAAAAATGGAAGCATATCGCTACAGTGTAGCTCTCAGACAGGTTATGTCAGCATGATTTTATAAATAGCGTTGCTTTCCACAGTGTATCACTCAGCCGTAAGCTCTACGTCACAAAGAGAAAGGGACACATTGTTCATATTTAAGTCTTGTCTTTCCTCCACTAGGGGCAGCGGTGATAAAGCTGTTAGCAGAGGGAACGTCTCCCCCAGTTGTATAAAAGTTGTGTCCGTGTCATCCACCATGACAGTGTCTATTTGTGTCTTTTGAGGATAACTTAAAAATGCATGCCCCCCTTTGTAAGAGTCCACAAAATCACATTTGCTGCTCATTGGTCCATTATTAAAACACATAGCTCTGTATTGTTTTATAACTTCAGTTCCATAATGGGCTTGTTTGTGGCACCAGGTGCACTGGCCTGCTCCTGAGCAGATACATGATTGAGGTCCAGCCCTGTAACCTGTGACCACTTCGGCCAAAACTAATTCAGGAAGCATTTGTTTAAACATGTCCTCGTCGTCACAGATATGAATCTGCCCAACGGAGGGGTTCTGGCTTCGATAACTTCCCCCAGAAACCTTTAGAGATCCACTATCCTGCACATCCAGATTCACAGAAGAAGAATCAAGCTGGCAGCCACTATCGTCCCTCTTGGCTATGTCGGTATCAGTTCTCCTGTCCTGCAGGGGGTAAACTGTCTGACTACTAGTGGAGCTCTCTGGTCCTCCCAGGCTCCCACAGCCACTGTCCTCTTGTCTCGTTGGAGGACTTCCTCGGCTGCTTGTAGCAGGGTTGGACTCCATGTCAACCCCGCTGTCCATGCTGGTCCTCCTGTCCTCTCCATCTTCCTCTGCAACATGTGTCACTGGGTCTTTGATGCAGTTTTTCACTTCTGTTCTATTACTGGACAGGAACCATCCTTTGTCTGTAACAACCTCCGCAGTCCCCTCTCCGATGGAGAGTGGGAGCCAGCCACTGACAGGGGATTTCTGAGATGACGAGAAAGAAGACAGAGGTTGTCATCGTTTTGTGATGTCATGTGTAGGAACAAAGTCAGTCATGACCTACTGAGCTATCTCAACAAGGCTGATATGATGAAATGAGACGGAAGTAAAACCATTGTTTGTTTCTAGATTCCACATAGTTGATAGCACAAAGTGGTATAACTATATTTCATCCAAGTATTCTGTCATTTAATGTGCTTACCAGTGCAACAGGAGTTTTCTCAGGACGTCTTAGGTAACACAGGAGGATGGCTGCCATGACAGCAAGGATGGCCAGCACAGCCAGGAGAGACAAGGATGACACAGCAATTATGAACCACTCTGGAAGGAAGAAAAACATGTAGGAGTTCAATAGGAGTGGGAGTGTAGATCCCAGCATGTATCTTATTGCAATAAAACATTCCCTTCTCACCATCTTTAAATGTAGGCCTATGGGATTAGTTTTACTTTTTGGGAAAATAAGCTTCCCCAATTTCTCGCCAGGAAGAGTAAATATTAAGCTACCATTAGCAACCATTTAGCTTCGCTTAGCACAAAGATTGAAAAAAGGGAAACATTGCAGGTTTACGGGGAATTAAGTGCTGGATTCAACAAAGGTGATGCAACATGCTAATTAGTGAACTTTAGAGGTGTTTCCATTTGCACAGAACAGGCTAGCTGTTTCCCCATTTCCAGTTTTCATACTAAGCTAGGCTAAGCAGCTGCTGGCTGTAAACGTGAAAGTCTAAAGAGAACCACAGCATCAGAGATGGGGCCCTGTTCATTCCTATTAAAACTGCTCAGTGGTGCATGCAGTAAGGGAACTTGATTTTCGCGGTATGAAATAACCCAGATCTACTGCATCGTTGGGCCCATACACGAAGCACACTAAAGACTTGCGGCAGCCGAGCAGCTAACTTCGGATTTAGCCCTCTGGATAAAATTGATTTAATTGTGCAGTTCTTTTATACTTAAAATGCTATTGGACCGAATGGATAAAAACTTGATAGTGAAATGATTCATGTATGAATTCGTGTAATGTAAGTATAGGAAAAGTTTTTTTTGGGCCCCATGGCATCATGTGATGAACTTGCATATTGTAATTCCATATTTGGCCACTATGTAAAATTGGCACTGTACCTGGGGGCTTGGCCAAAACCTTGTACTTAACGTACAGAGGGGTATCAATCTCCTTATCTAACTCTAATCAGGAAAGTTAATACTTATATTTCCAAAAATGTCAAACTATTCCTATATGGATGACCGTTTAATCAGCAAAGTACTTGAATTTAGCATTGTTTTCTTTTTTTGTGGCAGTTGAGTGCCATGCCCGTTAGCAGCAGCAATTGTATCGTGTTTAGGCTAATTTTACTGACAACAAAAATACAAAGTTAGTTGATTTTGTTCTATTTCTTTTCGTGAAATAGGGCGTATTCAGGCAAATAAATCAACTAAACTATCCTGAATTGTAGCTTTGTTGTTCAGAGCTCCTGTCTCTTAGCTGGGTGTAACCATTATAATGTTTTTCTTACCTTGCTCTGGTAGCAGCAGACACTGTTTGGGGGAAACACTGCTGATTGACGGAGCTCCATTGCCTTCTACTTTGATGCTGACACAGTACTCGGTCCCCCAGCGGAGAGAACTGAAATACTTGGTCCTCCCAATGTCATCTGTCAGGTATGCTGTTGTATTCTGTGGGGTGAAAATAAGAGTGCCACGCAGGTCAACACAAGACCGCATTGTACAATATAGCCTGGGACGAGTACAATTCAGATGTTAATTTAGGCGGAAAATGATTTTGTCTGTTTCTCAACTGAACATAATTGAAAATGTCGCCATTTTTTGTAGCACCGTTTAATTAACAAACAATTAATGTAATCACAAAATATGGACAAATTAGAATTAGCTGTTTGTCTGTGTTTTAACAGACCTACCTATCAATTTTGCTCCGATCTTGTGTTTTGAATTTTTAGTGATGGGGTTGGTGGAAAGAGGTGCTGTCTTACATTATTTCACATACTGTACCTTTTCATTTTCTCCTCTCTCCTCCAGGTAGATGGTGTAGGTGAGCCCAAAAAGAAAGATTTTTTCCAGGATGGGTTTTCGGTGAATATAAACCGTCAGAGAGCTGGAAGTAGCCCACAAAGTGAAGGATGGAGGTAGCAATTGACCTACAGACACAAAGAGAGGTAAGTAAACAACCAGTAGTGTGCCTAAATGACCTAACCAGAGAAAATATCATATTTTAACTGAAACTGACAGCGATCCTTACTTCTATTCGGGAGAAATTTCTTTTTGAGTGCCCACGCAGACACGTTTTGTCCTGCAACCAGCTGAACTCTGACCTTGTGGGGAATGATATAATCATGTATAAGGCTGCTGAGGTCACAGTAGGTCCTGCTGATCCCTGTGCAGCTTTTCACTGTGGTCCATTCAACACTACTGTACCTGAAGACAGAAAACATAATATGATTAATGAATATGTGAATAACAAATGGTTAAATTAAACATAACATTTCAATAAAAGTCCCTGGTAAATAATACACAGCAAGGAAAACAAATGTAAGCACGTTCGAGGTAGAGGCAAAAAATAGAGAATGCTGGGAATTTTAAAATAATGGGAGGTTTGTTGAAAGGACACTGTAACTCTGACGTAAAGGTTAAACATACTTTGCTATTTGTACATTGTACAGATGGTTCAAGGGGGCGTCCACAGGATCTTTCCAAAATGCTATCACCTCACCATCCACAATATTCACTTCCAGGTTGTCAGGCCGAGGGACACGCAGTCCTGCCAAAGGAAAAAATAATTGAATTATAATGTACAATCAGTGCTCATCATTACAAGATCATTTCAATTTCTCCAAATAAAATACAAATTTGTATATATATTTATATTATATGGCCAAGAGAGGAAACACGCTATTTGATTTCAGACTAAAATTATAAACCTTAACCACACATGCTAGGCAAATGCTGAAATGTTATCTTTAGCTTAAAGGATGCGGTCAGGACAAGAAAAGGAAGTCTGGCTGCCGAAAAGACAACCTTAAAAATCACTTATGGGATCTCTTATGATAATCACCCTGTTGGGGTTTTTGTAAAGAGCACAGAGGTTTACCCATTTCCACTTTAAGTATACGAATCATGAACCTGAATGGAACAGGAATATTTGTAATGGATGGTTCTATAAAATGTTGTTTTTCCCCATGATGCCTTCATGGAAACCTTATTACAAACGTAGGCTTACGAAGTACATTTCATCATAACAGATAAACACAGTACACAGTACAGTATTTCACAAGACAGTAACACTACTGTAATGATGAACACATGTCATTGTCAGGAAAAATTACAAAACAAGATTAAATAAAACAGATAAAATAAGTAAAAGTTGTTTATTACCTGACAGACAGTTTATGTAAATCATCAGGAAGACAAGAACCGGTGTCTTATTGCCCATATCCATGTCTGGTGTCCACAGAGATATTAAAACTTTGTCATAATCCACACAGTAGCTGCCAAAAAAAATCCCTTATTCCAATCACCAGTGATACAAATCTGCCTGTACAAACATCTTCCCTCCACAACCTGTCTGTATAACAAATTAAAATAAAAGTATTGATAAATGTCAACAGAGGAGAAGCGTCTCGTCTCTTGCTGATGTGCTGTCTGTTCATCCGTTGAGGAAATAAGAAGCTTTTTGCCTAAGTATTTACATAGTTCTCCCCAAATATCTTCCTCTCTTGCTTAAGTCCCCTCCCTCTCAGATGATGCACTTCCTGTTGTGACTATGTCAGTGACGCTGCTGCTGGTTTCATCTCTCTAACCTCTCCCACCGTGTGTTTTCCTTCCTCTTTAGCTTTTTCTTTTCCCCTTTTCCACCTCTCAGCAGGTTCAAAGTGTACAGCGCTATAAAGGGCTGACAAAAAAAAGGGACAGTACATAGCTTAGAGGCAAGAGAAGGAAGCATTCAGGGATTCCCCTTCCATGTTTAATAATTGTTCGCAGTAGTTTGATCTGAGAGGCACTTTTTGTACTGTTAAAGAATTTTTTTTTTTTTTTTTTAGTATTTTCTTGGTATCCACAATGAAGATACATAATTCAAATCAGTGGCAGGCATTTTGTCTTTATTTGCCTTGGTTTAGTTTTTGTGCACGTGCCCGTTTGACCACAGCCCGTGACTTTGAAGCTTTTCCTGTGACTGTTAAAACCTCAGTTGTGGTTGGCTGCCTTGCTGCAAGTGGTTTTTGCATGGAGCAGTGGTAGAGATGACTGTGAGAAGGATATGGACTAAAAATACACATTAATTTGGGGGTAGTTTTAATGAAAATAGTTAACATGAATAAAAGGCATAACAGGTAAACCATTGCTCGATTTGTTGTAGACATAAGTTTATCATTAACATTTAATTCTATCATAACTGTTTATGAGTCTAGTCTAGCCTACGGTTATGAGGATGGAATAAAGATGTTGCTTTTATGAAGTGTCTAGAAATATCTTTTGTGTTAGTTATGAACCTATGTTATCTACAGTGACATTAATAGAGCGAGGACCTTTTCAACAGCATGGGTGGGATGTCTGTATTTCTGTCAACAGTTGCAACAAACCACATGGACCATATCTCCTCACCTCATCTCACGCTCAAACCCATTGGCCCAGCCTTTTGTCAGGTTTTAAAAGGAAATGTATGACGTCACAGTTATTGTGGGTGGATATGTGCAATATGAGTTGTCTTTATCTGTTAGCTGGTAATTGGCAAATCACTCAAACATTTTATCCTACTTGTCACCAGTTAAAAAAGTGTGTGTCTCCACTGGGAGGATGGTCTTTTCATAGAACTATCTATGCTTTAAAAAAGATACAAATAAGCGTACTAATGAAATTAGTTTGACATGACCAGAGACAACAGAGAAAAGTGGCTGTGGCGTTTGCTTATGCTCAAGAAGTAGAACAGTACACCGCACCAGACCAATAAACGCTCCTGCTAGTGGGTGACATGATACGAACATGTCCATTTTTCCACAGGAAACAATAAGGCAGCTGGCTGAGGAACCTCTTAAACCTAGTTCAGACCAGAGATTTGCGATGAGATGAAACCATTTTAGAGAAAAGTTGCAGAGAAAAGTTATCTATCCTCAGATAACTTTAAGCTATCCTCACTCATATTTTAAGAAGCTACTAATTATATTCAGCCACAAAATAAGCCTAAAAAGCTGTAAATCGGGATGGATGTACAGAGAGTTGTTGCATAGACATTACACACTGTCTCATGTAGTTGCATTGGTGTGAGCCAGCAGGTTTTAAGAGCATTGCAGAACAGCGCATTGCAAGTAGTTGCCTGTTTCAACTCGTCTTGTCGCAAATATTTGGTCTGATCTGGGCTTTATGCAACAATTTTTAATTACAGGTAAGCTAATAAAGAAATAGTCAATGCCGTTTTTACAATACAGGAAACAGTACAGAGCCCACTTCCCATTCATAAGTTCTCATATTACAGCCAAACAGTGCACTAAAGTGAGTTTCTGAAGACATTTTAGGAAAGATTTAGGCAATACAGTTACAGAATATTGGTATATATTTGATCATCACTGCTTAGTTTTAGAGCTTGATTTGAGTTTGAGAAAGAGAATGAGACAGAGGTGGTTCTCTCTTTCGATCTGCTTCTATACTCTTTTTTGTTTGGGGAAGGGGGCATTAAAAATTAGGATGTATAATCTGTAGTTAAAGCAACAGTTGAAATGTTGGCAAAAATTGGCAAAATATCTCTTTAACAAACACTGAACCATGAACTATACCCTGAGAAATGCACCTTCACACACTGACTGTCAGTACTTCCACTATATATCACAGACATTAATGTGCAAAGCTTTAAATGAGGCTTATATATCTGGATTTTCCTCCTGCATCTGATAAATTTATAACACCAGATTGTCCTAAAACTGAGGGGACATTTACCTCTGAATCAACTACACTACCTCACTTGTCTTTCTGTTTACACGACAACAGTGCCAGCCTTTACCCCATTTTTTCTCATGACCTTGTTTGGAAACTAAATACAATGTTTACGTCCTTCACGGGACAATTGTCTCATCAGGAAAAGAGCAAACTCTTGCTGTTTGCTCATGATTAGGCCCGTTGAAACTGCAGTGATATGTTGTTCCTGTATACACATAGTGCAGCCCTCAATGCCAGTATTACTGCACTAAAGAGAAATGCATCAATATGTTCAGGAAGAGAAGTCATCATTTGTTTTAACACTTATTAATTAGTCAGTACTTTTAGAAATATACTTTCAATTCTGAGAAAGTGCCTTTCTCTTAATTATAACCAAATTTGTCACCAGTTTCCCTCTCTGTTTCATACCTTCATTTCACACGTGACTTTTTAAGTTTTAGTTCCTGTTAAAGGAGAAAAAAAATAACTTGTTTGCTGGTGTTGCCTTTTGGTTTCTTTCTTGCTGATGGACAGAGAACTGCTGAGTAAATCTGAGCTGTGGGACACCACCTAAATGTCAGCTGCTGTTGTTCAAAGGGGGGGACTTTTCTCACGAGTCATGTGTTATGTGAGGAGTGTCCACTGTCCTCAAGCACACAAGAGAAGACTGTATATCATACCACCCTCTAGTGTTACAAGGCAAACACATCTTTACATTGAATGTCTTGCGGTGCTTCTCATAAATTCAGTATATAATACATTTAGACCCACACAAAGACTTTGAGAGTTTGTCTAAAGATCAAATGTGTGGCTATCCAGCTCTTGACATCAGCACTCATGATGTGCTCTGTCTGTTGAACATACATATTTATAATTTATTTGTGCAATAGCACAAAGTTGTGACAAAGAGCAAACCATGCTGAGATGGAGTGGAGGGTGACATACCACATAGGTCCTCACCTAGGGTTCAGAACTGGGACATTTTGGTTATGAGGTGTGCATCCTAGACCTCAAGGCCCCCACAGTGTCCTATATATATATTCATATAGTGCAGCACCAAGTCAGCAGAGGCAGAGGTCTCCCTTGTCACACAGCATCCACAAGCTAGATTGTTCCTGATAAGTCCTGACAAGGATGTAGGAAAAGCATACAGTGATACGCAAAACAACTGTAAGCAGTGGGATGCCTACTAAGGGGGACACAGGATCAGTCTTGCTGGATCTCCAGACCCTGACTAAGTACTGGTCAACCAGACATTATGCAAATAGGCAGGGGACAGAAAACAAAAGTGGTAATAGATGTGAAGAGTCTCAAGTGACAGAAACTGGAGAACCATGAGTGACTGAGAGAGGAACTAGTGATCATTTTGAAAGTGAGTGGAAAATTGAGAACACTTGAAAAAGTATATTGTTATATACTCTGGAGGATTTTCCTAAAAAACAATGTAAAGACTCATAATCATCACTAGAAGTGTAGAGACTCTGCCCTCTGCCTGTATTTTCTTTTAAATATCTGTGCCCGTTTATGCAACCCAGTCTCACTCCATAGTCATCGAAATCCGGCTCATGGGCAGTGACTTGCGGTGTCAAACACTAACGAAAAAGCTATCCTTTAATGGTGGCATGATACACAGTTATAATTATAATGGCCCTCAGCAGCGTAGGGGGAAATGCTGTGGGATATGAACGAAAGTTAAGGGAATGAAAGTCCGAGTAGGGTGGGCAGGAGGGTGGTTGATGGGTCCAACAAACATGGACTTTGACCCAGGAGAGCAGTGTTCATGTCCCGTAAGATTATAAAGCCAAACCCTGTTCTTTTTTCCTAAACCTAACCATGTGGGTTGTGTTTTTTGCCCAAACCCAACCACGTGTTAGTTGTTGAAGGCAAAAAAAAAATCAATTTGCGGTGTTTTACCAATGTAGTGCATTTATTTTGAAAGAGACTGTATGTAAACTGTAAATTTCCTGTGAAAATTTAAGTGTATTTTTAAAGAGGACAATGCATGTAACAGGCAGAACTTGAAATGGTGTCCCAGAAAGTCAAATGCAACCAGGGTACCTTTCACGTAAAATCTAGACGTGGAAAGTCCAAGACCAAACGTTGATATGTGACGAGGTCAGAGGGAGAATGTGTTGGTTTATGGGCCTGTGCCCCCACAGCACTCAGGTGAGGTCAGGGCCCTATAAAAAGTTAGCAGCAAGCTCCCAAGAGACACACACACACATACACAAAAAAAGCAAATACAATGAGGCAAAATGCAATCAAGAGTGAATCTGGGGTTGGTTTGTACTTTATCTCTGGTAAGCATCTTTACAACAGTAACTGACAATCCTGCCTAGTGTACCTTTAATGAAAACACTCAAACAGCAGCACACACCTGTGTGTCACATTCACAACACACATATTAATCAGTTGCTTCATTTCTGTGATTCAATGAGAAGGCTATTTTTTCTCCAGCATTTCTTTGTAGAGAATGTGAAGGTGATGTCACACTGTTATTGTTTTTGGACAGGGGTGTCATCATGTGGGGATTGGGCTGTGTCACCTGTGCTGGCTACAGAGGTCAGGCTAAGGTATTTGGACAAACTAATCACACCCAAGGTCTGGATCCTATATTATGCTGTGTACGAGCATATTGTAGTGTTAAATTCACAGATAAGACATCCTGCATTAGAAATTATGTAGAATTTTACTGTATCTGAAAACAAGTCAGTGTCAGCTTTTTTTTAAGTTCCTGTCACTCTCTGTGAAGAGGAAGACATTTTGGTTCAGGGGCAGTGACAGCTCAGCTGGTGTCATTTGAGCCACAGTGGAGTTTGGTACTGTGAAACAAGCACTGACAGTCTCTGGCTACAACAAAACCGGTCTGGCAGGTGGGAAACTGGTGCACTGGGCACACCCGTCCCTGTGAGCAGACGAATGAAAGACTGAGAGAATGATGGATGCTAGAAGTGGGAGGTGTCACGCAAGAGGTGGGAAGGCAGACCTACCTGTTGTTGCTTGGATGAAGGTCAGTGAGAAACACATAGTAGAGCAGGAAGGAGAGAAGAGACAAAGAAGAAGAAAATAGAGGTGTTAAATGTGGCGCCGTCATGCTCTAACCACTGGTCAGTGATGTGAAAAAGCTCCACCCACCTGCTCTCACCTTCACTCTCCACTATTTGTTGACCTGAGTCCGATGGCAAAGCATGACCCGGTAAGTTCTTCCTTTGTCTTTCTCTTAAAACTCCCTTTTCTTGCTACAGTGAGTCTCCTGTCCTTTCCTCCAACTTCAACCTTCTGGTAATCAATGACCAAACTCCCTCCTTGATCAACACTCACCTGTCACTGTGACTCTGAATGCTTTCCTCTATCTGCCTCTCTGTTTGCTCTGTTTGAGTTTCAGTGTGTTTAGTTGTCTGTTAACCTGTTTGACCTACGTAAGAGTGCTTTTCATAGCGGAGGTTACAGGTTGACAACAGAGGTTTTATTTATGTTAATTTAACTGCCAGGCAGGAGTTTGAATATGTGTTTTGCCTAAACAAACTCTTAAGAACGGTGACTTTGGGGCAACATCTTTACACTTTGTTCTAGACCC